AATTTTTAAAGGCATGATGGGAAGGCATTCCTGGAAGAGAGAATAACTGAAACAAGTTTAGTTGCAGCAAATATAAAATATGTCCTGAGAATGGGAAGCTATCCAAGAAAGAAGGAAGTGTACCATGACATTGGTAAATCAAATTAGTAGAGCAATATTATGCTAATGATTATAATTATGCTAACAGTAATATTAAATACTAGTGAATATATAGTAATTGTAGTAATTATAGTAAATAGTAAATGTAATAGTACTAGTAGTAAAACAATTCACTACACTTTATATACATTTATACCGATCTCTGTTCAGGTTAGAAGTTGTGTAAAATTATCTTAATGATTTTCCAAAATGGAGCTGCTGGAGAATCTGAAATTGCATAATTCTGTTTACCTTCCTCTGCTTTGGTATATTTCATTTTCCTGCCAGACACTATTTTTGTCATAGGGAATGACATTTATTAGAGTCTCTGTAAACACAGAGATGCTACTGCAGCACACTTGGGGTTCAGCCTTATCATAACCTGGAAACCCCTCCCACTCTGAATATTCTTCTGAAGTACAGCATGGGGCCAAAATAGGTTTACAGGCCCTGGCCAGGTAGCTCATTTGGTTAGGGCATCATTCGGATGTGCCATGGTGGTGGGTTTGATTCTTTGGTCAGGGTACATGCAAGAAGCAACCAATGAATGCATGAATGGGTAGAACAGCAAAGGGATGTTTCTCTCTCTCATCAATAAATTTTTTAAAAAGTAGTTTTACAATTGTGAGTATGGTAAACAGTTTACTCTTGCATTTTTATTTATTAATTATTATAATATTTTCCAGCTATTGACTGTAAACCTACTTTTGCCCCATCCTGTTTGTAGACTTCTCCTACATAAAACTCTTGTTCACAGCGGCTCTGTTCACCTAGAATGCCCTTCCCACTCCCTTTCTGACTGTCTTTCTCTGCTCACTTTTTAAGATGAACTTAACTGGCCCACTTCTTGGGGGACTTTCCTGATGCCCGCTTCCCAGGGAAAGCCTCCCGTCCCTCCACTCTCACTGCTGGCCCCCGCAGTGTTCTGAGCACTCGTGATGCACATCTTGTGTTTATTTGATTATGTGTCACCTTCTACTAGATTTTTGGGCTCTTTAAAGAGAGGAACCAAGTCTTATTTGTCTTTTAATCTTTAACACAGTGTCTGGCTGATGAAAGGTGTTTAATCAGTGCTTGCTCAGTGAATGATTCACAGTCTTGGTAATAGACATGCTTGAGCATCTCCAGGGACGGAGCCACGCTGGTCCTGGCTCAAATCACCAGCTCCCTCCACTCTGGACCACCGTGGGAATTCCCACTAGGAAGTCTGCCCTTTTCAAAGCACAACTCTTACCATTTCACAGTGTAACAGTACCTGACATTCCCACTGAATAATATATTTTAGAAGTCACTCTATATCACTTCATAGAGATCTTTCTTATCTATTTTCATAGCTGCATAGCATTCCATGTTTATGGTACATGTGAATGTACCAGTTTTTTCAACCACTCCCCTGTGTGTAGCATTCCAATATTTTACAATTGTAAACAGTATGACAATAAATAAGCTTATGAGTTGTGTTACTTTGAAGCATACAAATTTATATATGGATAGCTATAAACTGATAAAATAAGTTAATTCAACTCATAAACATAGACTGTTGCTCTCCAGAAATTAACAGGTAAGGCTGAGGGGCGTTTTAGCATGTGAATGCTTCATTTGAAAAAGAATCCAGTTCTAAATTACATTTAATGTATTCTCTAGAAAACCTGAGAACATCTGAAGAGAAAGAAATATATATTTCTTCATAAAAGTCATGTCAAAAGTATTTACTATACTTTTGGTAAATTTAGTGTGGTATTATTAACTTTGAAAAACACTTTCATCTTTTAAGATTAAATCATCTTTTAAAAACATGATGTCAAAAGTTCTGAAGATATGTCAGTCAAACGCCATTAGTTTGGAAAGCAATTAGATTTGCTTGAGAAACTTGGAAATAATACAGGATAATTACTTTATGTGATTTATTTTCTTTTTTTAAATTGAAGAATTAAGGGGAAGTATCTTTTCTGTGGTGTACTATTTCTCACCAGTTTAATTTTTTTTTTTAAGCTTTCAGTTGGGACTCTTCTTGGTTGGTCATAATCCTTATCCTTTAGAAGATTTTTTCCCCCATCCGGTGTTTAAGAGGATTACTGTCTTTGCATCTGGCCCTTGATAGGTTTGTTCTTTGATGTGCTTAGATCTGTGAAGAGTACCTTCTCCTGTTTATTGTGTAAGGACAAACTGAGACAATGGCCAAAGAATGTATTTGTAAGGCTTGATTCACTGTGGAAAGTCTGGTAGGGTTTTTACCTGCTTCAAAGTTTATCAATCCTTAATTGGCAAGATGTAATTAATAATTCTTAAATGGTAAAATGGCAAACTTTTGACAAGCAAACTATTGTGTAATCTCAAAAATATAGTAATCTCAAAAATATAGTAGTAATCTCAAAAATATAGTAGTTAATGAGTGTAAAGTTCAGATCAAATATACTTAATTCTGGTACCACCTTAAGGTTTCTTTGTTCTTTGCAACAAAAGTAATTAGGAATGAAATGGTAGTTTTTACCCTATAATTCGCACATGAACAGGATGGGCATTAACCTGCAGTAGAATGGTTTTGATGATTCCCCACATAATATCTGAGTCCTAGTGATGGAGGACAATGGTTAGAGGATTGTCATTTAAAGATGAATACATCCTAGACACAACTTACAAACATGGCTTAGTTCTCTCTTTGGACGACAGGTTTTTTTTTTCCTGAGTAGCTTTCTGGCTCAAATACGTATATATATGCTAGCAACTTGCCAGGCTATATGTATATATTATTTACACTAAATACATATATTATTTACATAATATATATGGTACATTATATAATCATATATAGTATTATACATTGTATATAATATATATTATTTACACTGAAGTATAATAATAGCCAGGGGCAGTTTGGTGTTAATATTAGTTGAACATCTGAAGTAGAGATATGGGACTGAACAGTAGAGTCAAACTTAACTCGAGATTTATTTGTTGTTGGAAATGGAAAATGAATAAGCAGAGGAATTATCGTTTCCTGATTTCATATGATTTTAGAATAGACTCATGTTGAAAGAAAGAGTTAATGATGTTTACATCTATAATCACCCCCCTCCCCAAACGCCTCTGTTTTTCCACCTTTCTGCCTCTTGGCCAATATTATTAAAGTGTTAAATTATAGAAGCACCTTAGGGGCCTATGACTTTTTCCCAAGAGGGTTATATGGTTTCTCAGCAAAACAAAGGAAACAAAGCAGTTCAGTTTCTCTTTTTTCCAGTGTCCTTTCCTTCTTTTCATCCAGCGTAAAGGTATGTGGACTTTCCCTTTACCACCTCCTGCTTCGGCTTGACAAGGCAACTCTCATTAAGAAGTAGGGAGTAATAGAACTGTGGAAGGTCATAATTAGAAAGGCACGTCTTTTTCAATGATGCATTTAAACTTGATTGCCTCTGAGTCTGGTAGAGAAAGAAGAGGCGAAAGAAAGCCACCAAATGTTAATTCTGAATATATTGCCATATTAATGTGCTGTAGTTAAGAGTGGGAGAAAATTGGTGTTCTGTTGTTGCAGTGTAGACTGAAATAAAAATGAAAGCAAAAAAAAAGTGAGCATGAAAAAGGGCCTTAGGAATCTGAAAAAAAGAACCTCCACACCTGAAACCTGGGATGAGTGGTTTTGAAGTGTTTTTATCAATATAATGCTGTATTTATCAGGATAATGTGGAGAATGGTCCAATCTTCTGGTCTCTTAAGAAAGAATGTTTTCCTTCCTGGCTTTCCATTGATGCGACAGAGGACACAGATGTGTTTCTAGGTTTTACAATCTTTAAAATTCCAAGGAAGAATGTAAATGTATAATTTGAGTCATCCCGATTATAAATAAGGTGTGAGTAGAGAGGCCCTCAGGGATGCTGATCTGTATGTTACCAGCTCAGGTGGGGGTTTGGTTTCTGAGCAATACCAGATCGCAGGATTCCCGGCGTCAGCAAAAACAACTATGTGGTCGCATTGTGTTCCACTTCTTGTCAAATGCTCTGCTGAGTGCAACTCAAATTATTTTTAAAATATTGAGCTACAGAAGTGTGTGTATGTGTGCGCAGTATATGTGTGTATTGGAATATACAGCAATGTTAATGTGCCTGAAGGAAAATGTATGTATTATAAATAAAGTTGCTTATCAAGCATTAACATTGTTTATCTAAAAACACTTTCCAAGGCTTAAATCAAAATTACTTTTAATTCTTATGGGCAAATGGCAATGAAGATTTTGTTAGAGGTTATTGAGCAGTTTTTGTGACTTGAAAACAGCTGAGGCAGCTGGGAAGGAGAAGCAAGGGAATGGCTTAACTGGTCACCTGCACACCGGGTGTTTCCCTTTACCGCCGAATGTGGACTATGCTCTGGGTGGGGTTTGACTTACCTGGCAGTTATCCCAGCAACCTGTCTTTTCTAGCAAGTATAGAAATAAAGGTCACAGACAGAATGAGATTAAAATAGCCTGACTCTCTACTGTGATTTTTTTTTTAAATAAACACTATTGGTTACATTACTACTGTATTACCCATTTGAATGTTCTCTGTCAGTGTCCATGTGTGCGTCTTTCACTTCTAAATGTGTTTTGAGGGGTGTGTTACGGATAGTGTCTTTGAATAAACCTCTTTATCTGCTACTGAATAAAAGTAGAGGCCACCTTTTGAGCTAGAATTTAAACTTAATACTTTTCTTGCTTGGTAATTTGCTGGTGTACTTAGGGAAAAAGTAGAAAAAATACTTCTTCTACATTATGCAAGACACAGTAAGCTCAACAAAATTCAACTGTCCAGTGGGAGGGGCATCCGAAGATAAGAGTGAGTGATTAAAGTTTGAGTCACTTGGCCTGAGTTTTCCTGGATGACCTAATGAGCAAGAAGATGGACAGCTGGACCTGATGGCGTTTCTATGGGACCCGGTTCCTGAGGCCTCCATGGAGTGAGCAGCATGCCAGGGTGTGTGATTCTGAGGCTTAAAGGTGAACATAACTTAACCTTGATGGCCCCTCTGAGTAAGCCAACTACTTCACCTGATGCTCAGTCTAAGAAACTAATCTATTTCAATCCTGGAGAAGTGCCTAGCCATAGGGCTAGTGCCCTGCAGCTTTTTCTGTAGGTATATTTAAGGATAATTTTGTCTATATGTGATTTTTCATGCTGATATCTGCCTCCAATCCTGAGGTCAGATGCAGTTGATGTGCCTGAATGGGCCCCCCCACCCCCACCCAGCACAGCCTTTGCGGTGTGTGCTGTGAAGGGGCAGCTGAAGGAGAAGGCAAATGTGGGATGATCTGAAGTGCATCTTCCCCTGCTCCTTCTCCAGGCGTTTTTTTTAAAAGGTTCTGTGTGGCTGGCATTGATTACATCCCATCCCTCAGCAATATCTTGTTGTAGAGATGGGGATCATCATTAAAGCAAATCTTGAACAGTGTAACATCCTGAAAGGAGCTTAGTTTGAGGAGCCGTACAAATTTGGGTTTCAAACTCAAGGGGCCAAATGGGCCTCGGTTTCCTCATCCATAAAATACAGATAATAATATCTAGTTCTGAGTGTTGTTATGGAATTAAATGAAGTAATATATGTAGAATGTTCAGCAAAGTGCTTGGCACACTATAGGTGCCTAGTAATTGACATTATTACCATAATATTCATGAGATATTCATTAAGCCCTGACTATATATAATAGTCTAGGCTTGCTGGGGAGGAGGAGTGGTAAACAAGGTGTAAGACTGATTCCAGAGTTATTGATCTAATAGAAATAGGAACTGTCATGTGAAAATTGAAGGAAAACAAGTGTTGTAGACACCATGTACTCCAGTGCTACTCAAGGTTCCTATTTATGATGAGTCAAGGGACTCGGGCCAGAATGTGATTCAATGAACTGCCCCCTCCAGGAAGATGGTCATGCTGTGAAGAAGATGTCAGGTAAACCACCCAATGTATTTAGTGAAGCAGTTGATTTCCATTCTGGCACCTTCCGTGGTCCACACTTGGAGAATTCCTGCTTTTGAAATCTATTATATCGGCCACTTGGGGGAGCCTCTTCTCTTTGTGTTGAACTATATTTAAGATTTTTCACAGGCAATCTGAGATAATGTTAGGACAAAGCAGAATTTATTAAATTGATGTCATATACTTTTTGTTCCATTAAATGCAATAATAAGCTAGGATATACCACATTGCTTCCAGCCTCATGCTTGAAGATGAGCATCTGTAGCCAGAAGCTGTTGTTTTTCAAATCTGTGATCAGATGAGGTGGTGGCAGTGGGTCCCCCTGTCTCTTTGCAGGGCTTCTTGACCATGTTTTCTTGTGTTGTGGACGTCTTTGGCCAACTATTATATCTGTGGGCCATTTCTTAGACTGATATTTTAATCATATAAAATAAAATTTGTAAGGTTACAAAGAAAACCAATTATATTGAAATACATTTATCAAAATGTTAAAAACAATTTGTAATTGTAGATGTGTTTTATTATTAACATATAACAAAACCTAGCATTGAGTCTAAAAACTACCATTATTTTGAAGAAGTGATAAGCACAAATAACATTTTGACATATCTCTAACAACTCTGATGGGTTATGAAAACCTTTGTATTCATAGGAAACAAAGTCACATGTACTGCTAATACTGTTGTGGTTTGTTGGTTACATTATAATAGAAGGAAATGACAGAATTTCAGTTAGAGGTTAGTGAAAATAAATATATATTCTTTGCTCATCCAAGTTCAAGGCCCCCTGCATTCACTCTCTGGTTAAGAACCTCTGCTGAGAGAAAGGGGAGTTCTGAACCATTGTATTGCTTTTCCTGGGAGAGATATTTTGGGCTTGTAATAAAATCCAGTTACAATTTCAGTACCTGGTGAGGTTCTATTTTAATTTTCTTTCACTTTATTTGGAATACAAAGGAGCAAATTTATCCTCTAATCTATTTGTGGAGAGCTACAATCTACAAAAGGTTTAAACAAAGGCATCTCAGGGAGAGATTTGCATAAAATACTTATTTTTCCCAGGGCAGTTAAATGGATGCCTTTTTAGGAAAAGTTCTTGCTTGCAAAGATGATCATAAAGTCAATATCTATTCAGGGTGGGAGGAGGGCAGAATTTGTTACATAAAGAAGCTAGAGGGCTACAGGGCCCCTTTGGGGGTAATTTTCTCAAGGAAGCTATAAACAGAGCCCCAGAGAAAATGGGATCTTGGAATTCTAGAGTGATAAGGAGGCATTTTGGAGCAGAAAGATAGATCAAAGGGGAAGGATTAGTTAGGTATGAGATGTGAGTTGCATTAATGGGAAGGTCTGATAGCTTTGGTCTGAGTAAAAGTATGAGGGGACCTGAGCCTAGACAGGTGGGTTGGAGGTGGTGGTGATGAATTTTCATTGATATTCCAGGGATATAGAATATTATTGGCAAAGGGAGTAAGTGAAATCTTTTAGTAAGAAAATTATAAAGAAATTTCTGATATAGGAATATCAATATGACCATATGCTTTAATTGAATTGGGTGTAGGAAGAAAATATGGACAATAGTTTTAAAATCAGATGGCGAAATGAATGGAGAAAATGATACTTTCTTTGTCTATCCCAATGTCTTTCATAATCACCTAACAATAGGATTCATGTGGAGAACTTATTTATTATACAGGTTAACAAGATTCTGCTCTGCAAATTATAACCCCAGTAGGTCTGGGACTTGTGATTTTTTTCTCTCTCTTTATTTTTATTGTTGTTAAAGTACAGTAGTCTCCATATTCTCCCCACAACTCCCACCCACCCCAGCCATCCCTACCTCCCATCCTCCATCCCAGCACCCTTTGGCTTTGTTCATGGGTCCGTATACATGTTGCTTGATGACCCTTCCCCCTTTTGCCCCCACTGTCTCCTCCCATCTCCCCTCTGATATCTATCAGTGTGTTCTTAACCCATTCATTGTTTAATAGCATGTTATTTAGTCTCCATGAGTTTGAGTGTTTTTGAGTTTTTTCCTTGGGGTTGGTTTCTAGTTTCAGGCCCTTGGGGTCTGAGAAAATGCTTGATATGATTTCAGTTTTCTTGAATTTGTTGAGGCTTGTTTTGTGTCCTACCATGTGGTCTATCTTTGAAAATGTTCCATGTGCATTTGAAAAGAATGTGTATTTTGCTTCTTTGGGATGAAAGGCTCTATATATATCAGTTAAGTCCATTTGACCTAGAACATTGTTCAATGCTGCAATATCCTTGTTGATATTTTGTTTGGAAGATCTGTCCATTTTTGACAATGGGGTGTTAAAATCCCCTAGTATAAGTGTGTTTCTGTCTGTATCTTTCTTGAAGTCCTCCAAAGTTTTCCTTATGTGTTTGGATGCTCCTATATTGCGTAAATATATGTTTATAATGTTTATATCTTCTTGATGGATTCTTTTCTTGAGTATTATTAAGTGTCCTTTTGTGTCTCCTTTACTGCCTTTGTTTTGAAGTCTTTTTTGTCTGATATAAGTATTGCTACCCCAGCTTTTTTTTTTTCCTGTCCATTTGCATGGAATATTTTTTCCAGCTCTTCACTTTCAGTCTGGGTAGGTCTTTTGTTCTGAGGTGGGTCTTTTTTAGGCAGCATGTGTGTGGGTCATGTTTTCTTATCCATTCAGTTACCTTGTATCTTTTGATTGGAGCATTTAATCCATTAACATTTAAGGTTATTATTGATGGGTACTTATTCATTGCCATTTCACTCCCTTTGTACCTTTGTTCCTTTCTCTCTCACTGTTGTTATTAAAGACCCTTTAGCATCTCTTGCAGAGCTGGTTTGGAGCAGATATATTCTTTGAGGCTTCTTTTGTTTGGGAAACTCCTTATTTAGCCTTCCATTTTAATTGAGAGCCTTGCTGGATAGAGTAGTCTTTGGTGCAGGCCTTTGCTTTTCATTACTTGGAATATGTCTTGCCATTCCCTTTTGGCTTGGAGCATTTCCATTGAGAATTCAGCTGCTAGCCTTATTGGAGCTCCCTTGTATGTTACTTCCTGTTTCTCCTTTGCTGCCTTTAAGATTCTCTCTTCATCTTTGAATTTGTTATTTTAATTATGATGTGTCTTGCAGTGGGCCTCTTTGGGTTCCTCTTGATGGGGACCCTCTGTGCTTCCTGGAATTCTGTGACTTTTTCTCTCATCAAATTAGGGAAGTTTTCCATCATTACGTTTTCAGATAGTTTTCTATCCCTTGCTCCTCTCCTTCTCTTTCTGGTGTCCCTATTATACAGATATTACTACATTTCATGTTGTCCTGCAGTTCACTTAGCCCCTTTTCATTCTTTTTGAGTCTTTTTTCCTTTTCTTGGTCTTTCTAGGAGTTTTTTTCTACCTGTCCTCCAGCTCATTGATTCTATCCTCTGCTTCATCAAGCCTGATTTTGATTCCTTCTGCTGTGTTCTTCAGTTCAGAAATTGTATTCTTCATTTCCTCTTGGCTCTTGTTGATAATTTCTATTTCCTTTTTCATGCTGGTATAATTCACAGTAAGTTCCTCATAATCTCCCTGTAGTTTTTGGTAATTCTCACTGAGCTCATTGAGCCTTCTTATAACCATTGTTTTGAACTCAATATATGATAGTTGACTTGCACCTATTTCATTTAGCATTCTTTCTGAGGATTCTTCCTTTTCTTTCTTTTGGGTGAGTATTGTTCCTTTGTCTTCCCATTATTTGTGAGACTCTTCTTGTTTGTCTCTGCTTCTTAAATTGATCTGTTTTGACTCTCTGAGTTTGTGGTGTGAACTTCTTTGGTAGGAAACCTGTGAGATTCATTGGTAGTCTCCTTGATCTACTGAACTTGATGCTCTTGGGATGCCCTTTATGCCATTTATGTTGGTTTTCTGTATGTAATTGGATTTTGATTGTTGTTGGGTCTTTCTTTCATGTGTCCTTACCTCTATGAAGTTGACTGAGGGTCACTCAGCCCACCACTTCTTGTATGCTGTTGTGCATGTCAGAGAAAATCACAAAGCCCAG